TATGTATAAGTAAAAATATTTTGAAAGATCATTAAAAACTCTCTTCAAACAATAAAAACAGTCTTAACTTCTTAAATGCATAGATAAGTCATATTTATAAATATATCAGTAGCTATAGCATTGATTTATGCTTTTATTTTCTTTACTATTTCTTTTAGCACAATTGGTATAATACAAACTTGGTGATTATAATCTCATACTATTTTCTTTTTAAATCTATTCTACCATTCATAACAGGAATTCTTCTTGGAATCCTTTGTGCTACACACTTAATATATAACCACAAGTATTTATTTTTCAAGGTTACTCACTCCTGAGAACAAGGTAGGATTATGTCCTGCTATAATATAGGGTCATGGCTTTCCTGGCTTTTAAGCTTTGGGGGACCATTGGTTGGTACAATGATGTTATTCTTGCTTAGAGCTTGTGTTTTTAATCTTGAAAAATTGAAGTCTTTTGAGATAGAGCAGTTGGAGAATAAATTCCTTGTGATACAAGGATTCCAGTTCCCATATAGCAGACCCAAATAGTCCATTCTAGTCTCTAGATAGACTAGAGAGAGTTTTATGGTCCTTTTTAGGCAAGGTCAACAACTAAACAGCAAGAAGTAGACAGAAGTAGGTATCATTCTTCAGTTCCTCATGAGATTTCTGGAACCACAGCTCTCAGGAATGAATTGAGGCAGGATAGTAAAAAGAGCAGTACAAATGGTCTTACAAAAATGGCAATAAAATTAATATGTGAAAGACATAATTTTGCAGAGGAGAAGATTGCAACGCACGCCCACCTTCACAAATACCCATACCAAGAAAGCTGATACTGGCAAACAACCCACAATGGTCTCAGTCTTTTGTAAAGAAGTTCACTGAGCCTCTAACTTTTCTCTTTCCTCTGGAGCACTTTCCAATCTTTGGAAGTGTACGATTTCTTAATAAACCATTTCTTCTATAACTGTGTGTCTCCTCTATTCTATGTTCTAGACAAAACAATCTAGTATCGAGGCAGCAGCCCTCCCCACCCCCTATACTCACTGAAACCAAAACTAAGATGGTGGGTTACTGACTTGAATGCCCTACAACAGGGGAAACACCCGAAAGGTGCTATTTGATGCTTTATAAAGGCTTTTCTTTGTAGCTTGACAGTCAAAGCGCAGATGAAAAGCTCAGGGGGACTAAAAAGACTGGTGTGTTCTGCAATGGGGAAAATTTAGCCCAAGTTAATCTCTTTCTCACTGAGGGAGACTGGGGAGAAGCTGAGTGAAAGGACCAGGATAAGGCCTCTGACCGACTCTGATATGGTAATGTCACAGGGGAGGTGGAACAGCAAATATTCTCGATAAGATGGGGTACTTATATGTTTAGCCTGTCCTTGGATGTTGAGTAGTACAGGCTTATGTACAAATTCAGTTTCCTGAACCTAACACATATATGCTCATTCTCTAGGTGTGTTAGTCATAGATTTTTTTGTTTGTTTTTTTGTTTTTTTCAAGACAAGGTTTCTCTGTGTAGTTTTGGTGCCTGTCCTGGATCTCGCTCTGTAGACCAGGCTGGCCTCAAGCTCACAGAGATCTGCCTGGTTCTGCCTCCTAAGTGCTGGGATTAATGGCGTGCGCCACGACCGCCTGGCAGCTTTTTTTTTTCTCATGCAATAGCCAACTTTATTCAGAGCATCAGACAATTTATACTCTGTGGTTTAAGAAGAATCACATGAGTAAAGTGTACAATCATAAGGACAAGGTACACATGGCAAAAACAGATTTTTTTCATAGAGGCATATAAACAGTTAACAATAGCCAGTTGTAAGGAATAATTTCAAAGTAAACTTACTCCTATCTGCTATACCTGGGAGGAGCATGAAAACATATTCCAAGAAGAAGGTGAGATCACAAGGCTCTTATTTTGTTTTCTTGGCGTGTTCTCACAAGCACTCAGAATTCTCTCACACAACTCTGTTCTTGGGCCATGTGCCAACAAGTAGGGTGCTATTTTTAGAATTTGTTTTAGTTTTGATATAAACTCTAAATTTTTTAAAAAATTAATTCCTTATTTTTAGCATTTCATTTTAACCCATATGTAGTTTTTGTAGCGCTCTTATTACAAAACCATTTTAATCAGTTTTTTGAAGCAGGTAATTTTCATTTTAATCAAGAAGGCTGCCCATTTGTGATCTTTAAAAATTTAACTGCCTAGGACTTGGTTAAACATGAAAAATAAACTAGTTTGGAGGTAGTGAATGTTCCCTACTGAGGGAGCCCTAAAGCCAGGCTACAATCCACAACCCCAGAGAGGTTAGGTAATAAGAAGGGCCTCCAAGAGGGATACATGGACTTCCCTGGGAAGAGGAAATAGAATGGATCTCCTGGGGCGGAGGGGTGGGAGTGGGGGGAATGGGAGTGTGAGGGATCCAGATGGGCGAGTTGGGGCAGGATGGAGGGAGAGAGCAATGAAAGAGCTGCCTGATTGTGTGTATGTGTGGGGGGGTGCATTTCAGGGCTAGGGAGAAACCTGGTGCCAGGGAAACTCGCAGGAATACACAAGGATGACCCTAGCTAAGACTCCTAGCAATAATGGAGAGAGTGCCTGAACTGGCCATCTCCTGTAATTAAACTGGTGACTACCCTAATTATCATCAGGGAGGCTTCATCCAGAAAATGATGGAAGCAGATGCAGAGATCCACAGCCAAGCACTGAGAGAGCTCCAGAAGTCCTGTTGAAGAGAGTGGGGACGGATTTATGAACCAGGGGGGTCAAGCTCATGGTGGGGGAACCCACAGAGACAGCTGACCTGAGGTCCCGGGAGCTCACAGGCTCTGGACCAACAGCTAGGGAGCCTGCATGGGACCTACCTAGGCCCATGTGTGTGACAGTTGTGTGGCTTGTTTGTAAGGCTTCTAACAGTGAGATCAGGACCTGTCCTTGGTGCTTGAGCTGGCTTTTGGGAACCTATTCCCTATGTGGGGTTGCCTTGCCAGTCTTGATACAGCGGAAGGAACTTGGTCTTTCCTCAACTTGATGTGTCATGCTTTGTTGATGCCCATGGGAGGCCTGCCCCTTTCTGAGTGGAGACAGAGGAGGAGTGGATGGGGAGCAGGGTAGATAGGAGGTGGAGGAGGGAACTAGAGGAGAGGAGGAAGGGGAAACTCCGGTCAGTATGTAAAATAAATGAAAAATTAATAATAAAAAAGTAATTCTAATCCAAAACATACCTACCTCCCCTAGCTAACACAGATGGTAATTTTTCTCAGCATAAAGAGAGAGAGAGAGAGAGAGAGAGAGAGAGAGAGAGAGAGAGAGAGAGAGAGAATGAAAATGAATAAGGATCAAGGAACAAGGGTTCCAAAGAGGAAGATTGTTTGGAGATAAGCAACATCTAGAACTTAAGGTGTGAATGTTTTACCCTGTATTTAGAAGAACAAAAGATCTAACTAAAGATAACTTGGCTTTAGGGTTCCCTCAGTAGTCATTCTTTCTAATGAAGAAAGTTGCTATTTGTATGATACAGCAGCAATGTTCTGTTGCAGAAGAAAACCACCTTTGTGTGAGTATAACCTCACAATCTTGCTAGTGTCACAAACCAACACACATTGAACAACAAGGGGCTTTATTCTTTTTCCTACATGGTTAATTCAAGAACTAGCTAAATACAAATGGTTGTACTTAGTAAATTTCCAAAGTAATATGCAATGTAAGCATTTATTTTTTTTTAAACAAAGATTCTCTTTATGTCTGACTGTAGAACTATTAGGGACCGTGTAGTTAGGAATTCCAGTTCAGATATGTGGGCCAAGTTGAAGCACCACTTCTCACTCACCAACTGAGACTTTGCAGCATCCATTCCAGCCTGAGTAACCCAGCTCCTTTTCATATGAATCAGGAACAATAATCTCATCTACCTCTCAGGAAGTGACCTCATAGGGAAAACATGCAGTGTAAATTATGACACACTTTTTTCCTGAAAACCAAAGCTATTACCACAAGTAAGTGACTGTCTTGAGTAACTGTCCTCCAAACCAAGCAACCACCATCTTGGGAAATTCATCTGTACCCCTCTGCCTTGCAAGAGATCATCCAAGCCATTCTTGTTGATTGTTTGAACCCCAGCAGAGAGGGCAGAGTGGGCCATGAGATTCTCACCTGAGTATCCAGCCATACTTGGTAACTTAAGCAGCCTGGGAGAGGGCCAGAGTCTATAAAGGCCAGAACTGACTAGAGAAGTTGGGCTCCATCTATGCTGATGGGGGAAGGGGCTCATCCCTGCTGGATAAGGTTTTTCAGGTGCAACCTGTTGGGGGGAAGGAGTGCCTCTACTCCAATAAGTAATTCGTCCTCACCTAGGCTCCCTGAGAAAGCCCAATAAATTCATTGGTTCCCAGAGCGAAATTTGCAGAATCAAGTCTGTGTTTGTAATTGGGACCTCAGGAGAAGGGATAGACATTGGTTAGACTTTCCCTGGGAAGGAATTTTAGGAACAATGGCACAGGAAAAGGAAAAGGAGGGGATTTGGCAGGAATTATGAGAGAAGTTGGTTGAAAGCATCTTCCATGAAAAGTCTTTAGAAACAAGAGCAATTGCCATATATCCTTCCAGAGTCCCTGACTCTGAATGAAGAAAATGCATTGTTCTTACCCCAAGGCATATAGCCAGTACCCATATTAACTGTCACATAATTACCTATGGCTCTTGAATATAATTTTTAAAGGATCATCATAGTGCATTTGATTACATATAAAAATTTACTTGTGACAATGGTACATACACATCACACAAGAAGGACTTGACATGCAAATAACATCATCTCAAAATGGAGCACAGTTGGATTCTTGGGGGATGCAGGTCATGGAAGGGATGGGTGAGAGATCTCAAATGTTGAGACTGCACTTGAGAAAATTCTGGGCTGGGCAGCTTCAATAGTTTCTGGGCTCAGGCACATTCCATTATGAGTGGAAGGGATTATAATGGAATGACATGGATGGTTTCTTATAATCAGAAAAGCACACTGACCTTCACACTACACAGGTGCAGCAGCATAATGAACCACCACGTGTATGCGCATCAATTCCTGGGAAAGAGTCCAACGAGGTTAACTTAGCTTGTATCCCAAGCAAAGAAAAACAGTGACATTACCCACACAGAGGAACATGCCCCACCCCCACCAACATCCTTTGCTTAGAAAAGAAAAACATGTAAAAGGGAAAAAGCCATATAACAATTGTAATTATTTTGACTAAATAGGTAAAATATCACAAATAATGTCATGCCACAAATAATTTGATCTTTAATTTTAACACTTAACTTTAAGAACTAAAAATAATAAGAAATTATGTTTTCTCTTTCCAATAAACAAAGAGTTGGTCTCTTGGGGGTCTTCAAGAGAGAAGTTTTGTCTGCCTATTCCTTTAATAAAATTACATAAAAGAATCCTCAGATATGTGCTATGCATAAGTATTACTCAGAACAAAGAAATTGTGTATAAGATTAAACTGCTAAACATATGATGAATTTCATCTCAGCACCCTTACTTATTTAGGCATCTACCCAGATATAAAAGATTAAATAGGAAGTACTGTCCCCTTACAGGGATTTTCCAGTATAGTCCTATCATCCTAAATGTCCAGTGTCCAGTGTCCTAATTAGTTTAATTGTTAACAGCCTAGAGTCATCTCAGAAGGGATCCTCAGTCAAGAAACTGATCAGATTAGATTGAGAAACCCATATAGCATGTCAGTGGAGGATTGAATTGATTTTGAACTTACATAGGAGGGTCCAGCCTATTGTGGGTAGTACCCTTCCAGGGCATGGATCCCGGACTGTGTAAGAAAATTAGCTATGCAGGGGCCTGTGAGCAAGCCTGCAAGTGGCATTCCTTCATTGTTTCATATCAAGTTCCTGCTTGAGTTCCTGCTGTGACTTCTCTTAATGATGAACTAGAACCTGTAACTGAAGTAAACCCATTCTTTTCCTAAGTTGCTGTGGGTCAGAGTAGTTTATCAGAGCAATATACTCAAAGTGAAACAACTATTAAGTGATGTAGGAGGCCCCAGCTCACTGTGGGTCACACCATATCCTAGACACGTGGTCCTAGGCTATGTAAGAAAGCTAGTTAAGCTTGAGCTTATGCATGAGGCAGCAAGCAATATCCTCTACGTTTTCTACTTCAGGTTCCTGCTAGAGTTCCTTCCATAACTTCCTTAAATGATAGAATGGTGGTTTGAATGAGAATGGCCCCCATAGGCTCATATGTTTGAATGATTAGTCACCAGAGAGTGAAACTGTTCGGGAAGGATTAGTAGGTGTGGCCTTGTTGGAGGAGGTGTGGCCTTGTTGGAAGAGGTGTGTTACTGGGGGTGGGCTTTGAGATTTTAAAAGCCAATGTCAGGACCAGTGTCACTCTCTCTGACTGCTGCCTCTGGATTATGGTATAAAGCTCTCAGCTTTTGCTCTAATACCATGCTTGTCTGCTTCCCTCTGTGATGGCTATAGAATAACTATCCACAACTGTAAGCAAGGCCCCAGTTAAATGCTAAGAGTTGCCTTGGTCATGGTGTCTCTTGACAAAAATGGAACAATAGCTAAGACAGATTATAACCTGTTAGCTGAAATAAACGCATTTCCCTCCTAAATTGCCTTGGTCAGATTGTTTTATCCCAGCAACAGAAGATAAAAATATAACAGAGATTGGTACCAAGATGGGGTGTTGCTGTGATGGACCTGACCATTCGTATTACTTTGTTGGAAGTTTGTGAAAATATTTGGAACTTTGATCTGGAAAAGCCATTGAGTCCCCCCCACCTCTCTCTCTCTCTCTCTCTCTCTCTCTCTCTCTCTCTCTCTCTCTCTCTCTCTGTGTGTGTGTGTGTGTGTGTGTGTGTGTGTGTGTGTGTGTGTGCGTGTGTGTGTGTGCGTGTGTTTAATGGACTGTTGTAATGGGAGCTTGGAATATAAGAATTCTGAGAGAAAGCATCTAAGGAGGCCTGGCATGTGAGGTTTCACAGAAAGTAAAGACCCTTGGAACTGGACTAAGGGGTGTTGTGTGATATATTGGTGCAGAATTTGTGATTAGCTGGGACTGAAGAATCAGCTGTGATTAATAAGAAATCAACATCACTGAGGTGAAATTCATTGGGAAAATAGGAAAGTTATTCCTCAGACTTAGCACACAGACGCTGTGGTCTTTGGAGGCCAAGGCTACATTTCCAGATGGCAGCAGAACTTAGCAAATAGTATGAAAGAGTTGCCCAGCCGAAACTGCTTTTACAGGTATGAGGTGGTCATAGAGACCAGCTGAGGCTTGGCAAGGTGTGACAAGGTTGAAGTCCTTGTGAAGAGGACAGGGAAGGTCATTAGTGAAGACGCGGCATTAGCTGCAATGGAAACCCAGGATATTGGAGATCCATGACAGTGAGATATCTGGCAAGGGCAGTTGGAACCTAAGAGGAAAGCTATGTGTGCTGCAGATGGCAGAGCTGCAGAAGTGGGGCTGCCCAAGCCCTTCTGGAGCCAGAAAACTATACAATGAATTCTAGATGTCTGACATTGCACTGTAGGATTTAGATTTACATTGCTAAACTTTGGGTTTGCTTTGACATGATTGCTTTAATGCCCCATTTGGAATAATAAGTATGCAGATTTAAAAAAAATAATTTACAAGAATCCAGTCAGGAGACTGGGTTTTTAAAGAGACCTTGAATTTCTTTCTTTCTTTTTTCCTTATTTATTTTACATCCTGACCGCAGCCTCTCTGCAACACTCCCCCCACCCCACCCATGTCACCTTAGAGACCTTGGATTTTTAAAGTGGTAGAATTTTTAAAGACTTTGTATGATATTAACATGAGATCTTGAGGACAAGGGATGAATGGTTGTGGATTAAAATGTGTTTGTGTATCAAGTTGACGAGAGGTAGAGTGTCCTAGTGAGCTTTAGCTGTCAACTCGACATAACTTAGAATCGTCTGAGAAGGGATTCTCAATTGAGAGATCACCTGGATTAGGCTGGCCTGTAGACACATTGCTGGGGCAGGGCACTGTCTGGATTATTAATTAATATAGGAGGGCCCAGTGAACTGTAGGCAGCACCATTCCCTGGGCAGACAGTCCTGAATGACCTAAGAAAGCTAGCCAAGTATGAACCTGTGAGCAAGCCAGCAAGCAGTATTTCTCTCTAGTTTCTGCTTCAAGTTCCTGATTGAGCTCTTGTCCTCACTTCCCCCAGTGATGGACTGTAACCTGTAATGGAAATAAGCTTCCCCCTCTGGTGGTATTGTGTTCCCCCAAATCTTGTGTACCCTAATAAACTTATCTGGAGTTAGAGACAGAACAGCCACTAGATACAAAGGCTAGAAAATGGTGGCACTCACACCTTTAATCCTAGCACTCCAGAGGTAGAAATCCCTCTGGATCTCTGTGAGTTCAAGGCCACATTGGAAACAGCCAGGCATGGTGACACATGCCATTAATCCCAGAAAGCGAGTCTTTAATCCCAGGGAGTGGTGGTAGAAGGCAGAAAGGTATATAAGGTGTGAAGACCAGAAACTAGAAGCATTTGGCTGGTTAAGCTTTTAGGTTTTGAGCAACACAGTTCAGCTGAGAGCCATTGGGATATGAGCACATAGAAGCTTCCAGTCTGAGGAAACAAGACCAGCTGAGGATCCGGCAAGGTGAGGTAACTGTGGCTTGTTCTGGTTCTCTGATCTTCCAGTTCACCCCAATACCTGGCTCAGGTTTGATTTTATTAATAAGAACTGTTAAAATTCCTGATATATCCCCCTCCTCATTATTTTTGGTTAGTATATTTGATCATAGCAGCAGAAAATAAATTAGAATTGTTGGGAGCCATGCGGCCTAGTTTCTGACCAGTATATGAGGTGCTTGTCCAACTGCTCTCCAGATAAGGCAAAAACCCATGGGGACAGTCTCACTTGGCAAGGACCAGTGGATTTTGGTACGGTGCAGAATATTACTGGGGCCATGTAGCCTGCATGCTTTCTTCTCTATAGTAATAGTGATCATTCTCTTGGTGGTTTTAGTGTCATTTTGTCAATCATGCATGGGACAGATAAGATCATTCCTAGAAACCCCATTTTTCTCGATATCTTCCCCTAAAATTCTTTGGGAGCTGATGCTTCTCAGGTTCTTGTTTAGGGATGCCAGCTGTCACTCCAGACCCTGGGAGCTGTTCTGATTCAGCACTGACAGGATCGGAGGTAGATCACCCCCATTTCTGTAAATCTGTTTTGAACAATATTGTTGTTCTTGAAAATGTGTGCCTATGTTTATCACTTTTAGTTTTGTAAAGACAGGATGTACCTGGCTCAATATTTGGTCAAGCTAGCAAAATGATGTGTTGTTTGGGTTTAAGGATGTTTTGATGTAAAAGTTGGGAAAAACATATTCGACATACTTGTTTTTGCTGGAGGTTAACGTTGGAGGATGGGAAAAAATTTGTTTGTTACTATGGAAAAACATGCTTGTTTTTGATGTATAAATAAAGACAGCTGGAGCTATTCGGGGCCTGCCACTTGTGTGAAACTCATCTGGTGGTCGGACAATTCATATCTTCATGCTGGTGTCCCTTCCCCATCTCAGGACCTGAACCCAGGCTGCAGCTGGACAGCAACACAGAATATTCTGCAACAACATACTATCAATGCTTTAGCAACCTTTTTTAAAACAAGCATGAAAGAGCTGAACAGAGAGATGCCAGTCATAGGGAAATGCTTATGAAATCTGTAAGGACTTTTAAAGCCAGGTATCATTTTGGTTCATGAGTCTTCATTTTGATTGAATGACCCCTTCTTCCCCTGAAGCCAAATTAACATGAAATCAATCAATTTAGCCTATTCTAGAAAAGAATTTAAAAAAAAAGCATCATATGATGTCAACATTCTAAGACTCTGGTGAGATTTGAAACTTTGCTGACAAAGGTGTTTGTATACAAATGATCTGATCTGGGCAAATGGGAAAAGGGGGTGGCTCTTTTGGGAGGGGAGAGGGAGATAAATATAGATGAAGGAGGGATGCAGGTAAAATAACAATTAGGATGTTGAAAAGACCATAAGGAA